TTTTTTTTTTTGTATTTTTAGTAGAGACAGGGTTTCAGCATGTTGGCCAAGCTGGTCTCGAACTCCTGACCTTGTGATCCAGCTGCCTCAGCCTCGCAAAGTGCTGGGATTACTGTCATGAGCCACTGCTCCTGGCTGCATGTGGGTTTATGTGTTGGAGGGATGGTGTGTGTGTGTTTCTATGTGTTGTATGTTTGAAAGGTTCACAACATATTAGTTTTGGAAACATGCACTACAAAGAGGCACTCCAAAGTCTGTTCATGAACTCTGGAAAGTGTCTTCACTCAAAATTTGATTGTGGACTATGTGGCAACCCATTAGACAGAGGGAAAAATGTAGCTATAATGAAATGTATGTTTTGGGGGAAATCAGGGACATGCGGACAGGACAGTAGAGGGGGCGAGGAGGCGGGAGACAGCTGGGGTGTGAGGAGGACCAGCAAGGATGAGTGCTCCAAGGGACGAGTGGGGTGGACAGGGCCCCTGCGTCCAGTATGGCCTGAGTCAGACCTCACTTGGTACCTGGACTTCGCACTCTGGCAGCGGGTCCTAGACCAAGTGTTTCAACTCTCTATCCTTCAGTTCCCTGGTCTGAAAACAAGGATAATAAAAGTATCCACCACTGAGGGTCTGTTGCGAGAATGAAAGGAGAAACACATGCAGAGTACCTGCCACATAGGGAGCTCTTCATAAGTATCAGTTGTGACTGTTCTTGAACGGAACTATGGGATTGCCTCATCCAGGCCAATTAGAAATGTAGACATGAGAGGCTGCACCAGGGACCTCCACGACACACGCATGGTCTAAAGGCTTGCTTGCACTCACTCCTCCCCAGTCCCATGCAAATCTACCCCCAGACCCCAAATGTACCCCCCAAGCCCACAGCACTTTCAGTTCTGCAGCTTTCATACATCTGGAGCCTTCATGCTCATTTTGGTCACTTTCTGTAAAAAGTAACAAGGTCAGCTGGGCACAGTGGCTCACGCCAATAATCCCAGCACTTTGGGAGACCGAGGAAGGCAGGTCAGGAGTTTGAGACCAGCCTGGCCAACATGGTGAAATCACATCTCTACTAAAAATACAAAAAAATAGCGAGGCATGGTGGTGCACACGCCTGTAGTCCCAGCTACCCACTTGGGAGGCAGAGGCAGGAGAATCACTTGAACCCAGGAGGCAGAGGTTGCAGGGAGGCAGAGGTTGCAGTGAGC